GGCTTTATATAACCGTTTCGAATCATCTAATAATAAATTGGAATACAACACAAACCACAAAATACCTTATCAGACGGCTAGCAAATTGCTCACAGCAACAACAACAGCGAATGACACTGACATAATCGCGAGCGCAAGTACCCTGGAAATGGCAGAAAAAATGCAGTGTGGGACGCGAAGACAGCGAGGAAAACCTTCAGCGAATCGATTGCAAAACAAAGATGGAAGTGTCAATGATGTACAAAACCTAGAAATTACACGCGGTTCTAGGAAATCTGGGGCCGATTTAAGTAAATGGAAAGCAACTGATATGAGAAATACTAAACATTCCACTGAAAAAACTAAGAAACAGGAAACGAGGAAACAGGATAAAAATACTTCAGGGAACGAGTCTGTCATAAATAAATGTGTATTAACGTCAGCAAAAGAAATAAGCAAGATAAATAATGTGAGCTTTAGGAGTGAAAAGATCCGGTCAAAATATAGAGTTGGTACATCAAAGGTCAAGAGCGAAATAAATATCTTCACTGATCTATTGCAACAACAGAAACGGGATGCAACGAATCTATACACAGTTAAGATGCGATCGAACGGACGGAAGAAAACAAGCCGGCGTTTTTCTCTTGGCCACACACCGGTTGGAACTGCGGAAAGTGAAGCTACCGAGTGACGTAAATAACTGTGTGTTCGAAATACTCGGCGCGGCAGTGTTTTTAAATAATTAGTTTTAATTGTATTTTAGTTAGAGAGGCAATGGTGCGGTTAAAGCCGAAGCGTTCCGCAGGACCTGACGGCACCCCTTCTTTTGTCGTCAGAGATTGCCGGGCTGTTCTGGCGGAGTGACTCTTGCATATATTTAATGTATGCTTGGAGTTATCTTATTTTCCGAAATACTGGAAAACCACACGGGTTGTGCCTATTCTAAAAGTGATAGGGGATTGGAAGTAAATAGGTTTAGGCCTATCGCGATTCTATCGACGCCGGCAAAAGTATTTGAAGGCGCATTGCAGCGGAGCATTAAGTTGCAGGTATCAGCTCAATTAAGCGGACGGGAGACAGCTGGGTACGGGGACGCGGAGAATTCCTAAAGGGGGATCCCGCGGCTTCGCATCAAGCAGCTTAGAAGGTATTCGAGGGGGTTTTTTAGCGGATATTAATAAATGCTCCATAATATCTTTTCGTAGAGCACAAACTCCGCTCCACTTTGACTACAAAATTGACCAAAATTACATAGGACCGAGACAATCAGAAATTTAGGAATGCAATTAAATCACAAATTAAATTTTAAAGATCACATTATAAATATCTGTAAAAAGCATACAGAAGTTTGGGTTATCCTAAATTTGTTACGATTTGTAGAGTCAATAATGTGTACCCAATCAATTAAAAATGTTTTAAATTGCTCTAAACAAGGAAAGTCGTCTAAGCTATTACGCTGTTCTTTCCATTTTACAAGAGTATGGCTATCAAGCTTAGAAGAAACCAAATAAATAAAAAGCGTGTCCTAGTGTTGAATGGGTTGAACTAGATTAACTAGGGCCATATATCGCTAGAGACCAATCATTCATCTATGGCTAGGGTGCGTAAGTTTTTGGTGATATTGTCCACTAAGTAACGTAAGGAACCCTCAGTTTCGCGCGTCAATGAACTTCGGCTGTATGTTAAATATAGATTTAAGGTGATGATTTTTAAGTAAACTTTGTTATTATATCGCGCATAAAGTAACTGCCATGCATCATTGTAATTAGCGGATGAGACTTCAATATTAGATATGACACGAGCTGCATCACCTTGTAGATAAGAAATTAGGTAATGAAATTTTTGAATACTAGAAATGTATTCATTGCACAAGTGTGAAATTATATCAAAATAGATTTTTAAGCGATGGTTTTTACGAATTTAGTAATATTCAAAAGTTAATAAAAAGGTTTTAGGCAGGCAATTTTCGTAGCCAACTTTCGTTACTTTTTCGTGTTTTTGTTCGGACGCCATATGTTCACGCCTTCTTAGCGAGGTGGAATTTACTTTAGAAATACACTTAGACTGAATTTTGATGGATTTATTAATTTACAAAAATTTTGATGTTCTCACAAGCCACGTAAAATATGTAATGAATTTAAGTTAAAATGAAAATATCAAGCCAAATTGATGAGCACGGCGACATTGTTGTTGCGAGTTTGGTAGGCGTTACCAGACAACTCTCTTGTTTATAATAATTGATTGCAGTTTTGTACTAAAAGCTTTTAATTATAAAGAAATACCTATTTTGTGTGTTAAGTGTTTCACTGTATTTTAATGATTAATATTAGACTTGCAACGAATAGTATATTCGGCAGTATACCGAATACCGAATATTCGGCGGGGCCCCTGACCGAATAGCCGAATATTAGACAAAACTATATGGCTGGATTTTAGCGCCAAAAACTAGTACAGACGTGATTGTTTCGCGCTCCTTTGTTTTGTTATGGTTTTGTTCTAATCTACCGTCCTCAAGCTAAAATGCGGCTAAATGACAAAACCAACTTTTGAGATATGGCCAAAAACGGCGCGTAAACTTAAATTATTGCTAATAAGTAACCATTCATCACATGACTGAATGAATAAAAATCTGTTAACTTGTTTAATATAGAAAATGATTAAATTATGTACCTGTTTTATGTACCAATGACTACTTAATAAATAATTATAAAAGAAATGAGAACCTTACCTTTCTTAATTTTGATTACCACAATAATTCAAATACATAGAATCCTCCATTTTTCCAATTCAGCAGATGATTATGTACCTGTGTTATGTACCAATTGACTACTTCAATGATTATATAACAGAAATGAAAATATGAATATATACGTAATCAATCCATTTAAATTTTTCATTTTACCAATTATTTCTTTATGACAATATATATTTGTTTAAGTTTTATTCGGTATTCGGCCGAATAATATGTAGATATTCGGTATTCGGCCGAATATAGTAAAAGCAGCCGAATAGGCCGAATAACGAATAGTAACCGAATATTCGTTGCATGTTTAATTAATATAGAGCAAATAACGAGAAAATATATCACATGTGTTCTATGGGAGCCCCCCTTAACTATAAATTAGCACAGGAATACATCATCTATAAAAATTTTTAACTGTCTAGCCCGTGTGTCTAGCTATCAAGGTTCATGAAACACAGACTGGTGACAGACAGATAGACAGACACACATACTGACAGTGAAGTCTAGTCATAGGGTCTCGCTTTTACCCTTTGGGTACGGAACCCTAAAACCGGAGTGGTTATCCTTTCTTTATGCCTATGTGCAAAGATAATTTTCTGTTTTGTTTGCTCTTTTTTATCAAAACAAGAAAATACTATACGTAATCATTTCATGGACATTATTTCACAAAATAATCAGCACCAAGAAGAACGTGAAATATGTAGTTTATACTTCGTCTGCGTGGAAAAATTGGTTTCCTACACACTTCCACCCCCCCTACCTATTCACATTAGTAGAATTCAATAAGTTTTAATAAACAGTATAACAAATAGTATTTTTTTCCATTCTGTTATATTGTAAAACTAACCGTATAACGGGAAAAAGGGAGTGGTTGTTGCGGAGCATGTGGGTATTCTCCACGCGGAGACCATGAGGGCTCATGCCTATGAGAAGGGTTTTTACCGGAGCTAAAACCGGCGTCAAACGGGGTTTACGTCCGGTCGTTAGTCTTGCATGGGACACTATGAAGTCAATCACACGACGCCGCGCCGGCGCCGGCGCCGGCGGCGCGGCGCTAGCGACCGGAGCAGAGCCCAGCATGAAATCAAACCGTCTCGTGAGAATGAGCCGCTAAGCTTCGCATTCGCAAATTGATTTTTTTGGGAGAGTACTTCGTTGAGTTTTTACTTTTAAACTTTTAAAAAAAAGAGCGTACTCCTTCCTTAAAGGCCGGCATCGCATTTGTGATATTCCTGGTGTTGAAAGTGTCCATGGGCGACGGTGATCACTTACCATCAGGTGAGCCGTCTGCTCGTATGCCCCCTATAACATAAAAAAAAACTTGGTATGCCCGGGCTGCACTTAATCAGCTGATGTAGTCCCTGGAGGAGTCCAAGATAGGCATAAAAAGTTGTATGGTTGGTTACTATAGTCAGGAGCGGTCGTTGCCTGAAATTTTGGAGGGGGTCACTCACTACACTAATAAAAAGTAGGTATCTGGAATAAAATAATCATTATTGCACAAGACACAATTTTATTTTATACATTACTTATAAAACAAATGGAATTCGTCTTTTTGTATTTGCGAATCTGGTGATAATATTTGAGACGTCTGGTACTATTTCCGGGTGAATGTTTAGAAGAGCTAAACCTGTTAATCTCCCTTCTAACATGTTAGCTCTCAACCACGTTTTTACACGCCTAAGCGTAGAAAAGGATCGCTCTGCTGTCGTACCACTTATCAGAATTTTGAGAAATGTCTTTATATTTGGTTATAAATCATCATTACCAACTTCGATGGTAGGAACTACACACTTAGGAAGTTTCGTATCAGCATTTTCTGTGACCTCCCGTTTCCACTTTGTAATCCATAGCTGATACTCTGTAACCACAGTGGCAGAAGGAACATTTAAAAAATGTGAATAGAATTCAGATACTTTCTATAGTATATTCCGATTTCGGCATAAAAATGCCTAATCCGAACAAGTTTATTGTATCTGCAGAAAGTCGGTCTTGTAGGTCAGTAATTATGCTATCTTTTAGTGGAATATAAACAGTCCTCCGAAAATATTCCTCGTGATTTCCTTCATAATTATCGCGAAGTGTCTGCCGAGGTGCAGGTTTCATTTCCTTTTATTATTTGGCAAATTTTTAAGATTTTTTAATTTGAACTTAGATTTTGGGGGATTCATGTCCCCTGTGACCCCCCCCCCCCCCCCCCTACCCCTTCGGATCGCGCCTAACTATAGTACATAATATAACTGCTAAACCGTCTTCATATTCAATATAATATGGGGTAGAGTGATTTATCACTCGATTTCCGAAAGGAGAAAAATGAAACAAAATTAATGCTTCAAAGAACTTTAATCTCCTTCTAAACTTCTCGAGAACGAAATAACATACTCGAGAAAGGCCCTGGGATCATCAACATGCAGAAAGTGCCCAGTTTTAGGAATGTACTGGATCACCGCCAGAGGGAAGTATGCCTTTATCTTAGGTAAGTCATCGGGGCTGAAAATAATGGTTAATTTTGGTAACTAAAAATTAACTTTTAGTTATTTAAAAATTAAAAGACATCGTATTCTAATTTATTTAAAAGTCAACGAAAGCATAAAGAATAATGTTGTTTTCACGACGCTACTTAAGGCTATTTTCACGTATAGCTGAGGGTGAATATTGTGAATTTTCACCTTTGCTTTACTTGAAAATAGCGTTAAGTACTCTCATAAAAGCAACGTGCTTACTTTCCTTTCATCATCATCATCATCTGCTGGGGCACAGACCTTCCCTATGAATGGAATAGGGAGATCAGACCATGACCCACCACGCGGCCCAGTGCGGATTGGTGTGTGCCTGGGTGCGAACGACTGCAGATGCAGACGGGGCCAACGGCCAAACATGCCTTCCGAAGCATGGAGGTGCTCGAAATAGTAATTTTTTTGTCACCCACCCAATGACCGGCCACTGTGAAAGTTGCTTAACTTCAAGGATCGCAGCCGAACGAGCTAACCACTTGCGCCATAGAGATCCTCTTTAATTCACTTTTAAATAAATAAGAAAAACAGTTATTAGAAATACATTTGACCGTCTGTTTTGTAACGGTTTGTTCAGCTTCATTAACTTTTTTAGACTAATAATAAGCTAATATTTTTTAAGCATACATACGTACTTACGGAATATAATCTGATAGTTGGCCACCAAGGAACAATGTTGGACCACGATACTTTTTCCCCAGCATCTCTCTAGGAAAAGACGATATGTATTTATAATGCTTGATGAGGGTATTCAGATTACACGCCCAGCCTACTACACCATTCTTTACTCGGATATTACTTATAATTGCTTTCATGAATTTCTCTTCAGTAACGATATCATCGAGAGCCCTTTTGACCTGTTTTCTCGACGAGCGGATGTCGTTTGTTTTGAATTCCACAGCTTTCATTAAATTCAGTACTTTCGGCATATATTCCAGAATATTGTATGGTGCGGATGCTGGGGATATATCTAACACCAGTAGACCAGCTACTCTATGTGGCTGAAAACAATCAACAACTCTTTAACATAAAAATAATACTTATTCATCATCAGCTCCATATGTCCCTACTGTTGGCGTCCTGATCAATATATGTAATCACAAAGAGAGAACTTCTGTAGTCTTCAGCCCACTACGCAGGTTCAGAGCAATTTGTTAGTTTTATTTACCCTCCAGTAAAAAGGCTCGTTAAGCCGGATCGGACCGAATACCGGATACATGGAGAAGTATCCGAAATCAGGTGCTTAGCGATAGCATAGGTAAACATCTTTTTTGTTATGTTTTTAACATGAGCAATTAATGCACGCTTTGATAAAAATTAATACATCTTCAAAAAACTTATTAAAAATAGTACAACATAGAGATGTAGCCTTCCGAAATACGGAAGAGCTAAAAATAATAATTGTATTGATTAGACATGATTGGAGTCCATTATATGGGTTGACCGAATATCTTAAAAACCACATTATCCTACTACTGTAATCACATATACCATTGTTAATTTATTTATAGAGATTACCGCCATTAAAGAGATGCACATACAAGTCTTGCCACCCATACTGTGACCAACAAGGTAAGCCCTCTTTACAGATAACTTGTCAAGTAACTGGATCATGTCCTCCGCTAACTCTTGGTATTTATGAGAATTGACGTGGGGACTATCGCCATGGTTTCTCAAATCTACGACCACAGCGTTCCGCTTTGTTGTACTGAGCATCGTCTTGCCCAAGCTCTCCCAATGCTTCTTCATTCCAAGCAGGCCGTGCAAAATAAACAGCGGGGCGATATCGGGGTCGCTTAAGTCTTCGTCTCCCAATATTTTGTAAGATAAGTTCACGGCATTTCTTGATACGATTCTTAGAAATGACGTCTGTTTTAATAAACCTTTACTTGTGATGAATATGCTTTTCATTTCGTATCTTGCATTGGAAAAACTAATCTACGAAAGGTAGGTAAAGTTGTTGAACATTTTGCAATAAAAAGAGTATTAGTTGCTGCGATGACAAATACGTTTAGATGGTATTCTTTGATTGGAAAATTTAAAATTATTTAATTTTTTGTCTCAAAGGTACATATTATTAATCGTATATACCTATATCAATAATCTGAGTTAATAGTCCTCTGAATAATGATGATTAATCTGAGTTTTTGTATTGCCGCATGGTTGCCTGATTGCTTAAAGAAATCCTTAGTCCATGGTTAATAGGATAAATATTTCTTATTCTCATACTAAATAGCTTAGCCCCCTGAGTATGAAAGCCCTGGATAGTCCAAATCCCCAAAGTTAGCAATGTTAAACCAGGGCTGATAATTTGGCCAGAGCAATAAAATTCGGAACAGGATCAGACCCATACCAAAATGGAAAAAGACACAAAAAGAGGAAAAGTCCTTTGTTACTGGTACATTACCGAGTTACATCCAGCGATGTGCAAGGAAAAATAATAACTTCCTAATGTTGGTTATCTTTCATTTTTCAAATAAGTATTGACAAGCTTGACATTTCATTAGACAGAATTACAAAGGACAAGGAGAATACTATCGTAATTTATCGCATTTATTGTAATTAAAGAGCCCTTCAGCTATCACAGTTTCAACTTATGATGACAGTTGCTCTTCTTAACGAATAGTTTATATTCATAAGTTAAAGAAAAAGGCCGGCGAAGCGCCAGAAAGAAAAATTCGTTAATAGAGACTTTTTCTACAAAAAAATCAAATATCACCTCTAGGCCCTGGAAGTACAGTTTTACTTTTAAAACCCCTCTATTTTTTATAATTATCATTTCTGTAAAAAGAACGCCGGGAGGGGGGGGGGGGGGTTACCCTTCCCTCTGAGGGGTCTTCCCTAATACCTATCCCCCTGAAATGTAGGGAGAGAGGGGTGGGGAATCGCACGAGTGACGTGTGGCGGCGTATTGTATCGGCGCATTAAGTGGCCGGTGCGGGCTACAAGAAGCGAGCAAAGACGATTTGTGGCGTGTGGCGGCCACCGGCGTACCGTGTGTGGCGAGTCCATATAAAATGTATGAAAACTACAAGAAATACGCCGGTGGCGGCGCGGCGTTTTGGGGTTGTGGTCGGTGGCCCGTGTGCGGCGACACTAAGCAACAAATAAAAAAACTATTGTCAAGAAATTAATTACTTAAACGAGTGATTTAATTAAACAGTTAAATATACTTACATGCAGTTAATAATTATTTCACAAAACCACAAAATAACTTTTCAAAATAATTAGTTCCGTACTTACTGTGCGTCTCGCCCGTTATTGAAATATTTTTACAAAACAAACAAATGCCTCACCACTTAAAATTCACTTTTTTGTTTTATAGAGATATGTACTGCGAACATAAAAATATATTCCACAAACACTTATACCAATAATAATTTGTCAACCCACATTTTAAATAGAATTTAACTGTTGTAATGTAAATAAAAAATTGCAATTAATAAACTATTGTCAAGAAATTATCTACTTAAACGAGTGATTAACTGCATGTAAGTATTATTTAACTGTTATTTACACTAACGTAACTTGGTGCTGATTTTTAAAGAAATTTAATTTATATAATTTTTTATTTGTAAGTGTAGATATGTCTCCAAGCAAAAAATCTAAGGTTAAACCCCTTCTCCTATACACAACTCATTCACAGAGGAAGATAGCAGAACTCGGCGAACGCCGGCGTATCCAAGTCTGCTGTCAATAAAATAAAACTAAATTTGGATCAGAATTAGCCACTTTCGCCCAAAAGAAAAGGCAAATGTGGCAGAAAACGGATCACAACACCGTGTCCGGTAGTAAAATTCGCGAATCTGTTTGCAAAATAGAAAGAAACGTGCTGGATTGGTAACTCAGATGGCACAGGAATCTGGAATACCTGTTTCTAAGATAACTGTACAGCGAAGGTTGGCAGAGGAAGGCTTGACCGGTCATCATCCAGTTAAGAAACCGCGCTTGACAGAGGCGATGAAGAAGAAACGACTTGCTTGGACTCGTGAGCACTGCCTGAAGACTATTGAAGACTGGAACAGGGTCAGTCTAATGTATTTTTTTATTTTATGTTATAAAAAACGTTTATAAAAATTATAAATAGTTTCCTTTTTTTATAAGTGTGTTTCTCAGACGAGTCAACATTTAAGATTCTAGCCGACAAAAGCATCTTTGTCAGGTGGCGCCCAGGCGAAACACCCCCCGTTAAAATAATGGTATGGTCATTCATAAGCGCTACAGGCATTGGGCGCCTCTATATTGTCCAGGGAACCACGAGACAGGACCAATACAAGCAAGTTCTAGAAACTCGCCTGTTGCCGTAACTCCAAGTATGATTCCCAGATGGGGAGGAATTCGTGTTTCAGCGCCATGCCATAAAGCGAGGAGTGTACAAAAATTTTTGGCAGACTACAACATTCCGGTTTTACGTTGATACGCAATTCTCCTGATATAAACCCGATAGAAAACTTATGGGAAATACCAAGGCGGAAATTGCCAAGGAAATGATAACTAGCAAGGTAAAACTGATTGAAAAGTTGATCAATGTATGGCAACGCAATCCCAAAATAAAAGGAAGTGCCAAACAATATATTGAAAGCATGCCGAGGCGGCTTGAAGCACTTATAACAGCTAAAGGAAGTGTGACAAAATAAGTACTAATAATTTCACTTTAGTATTTTTATACACTTGTTAATATTTTTTATTTGCCTAAATATTGATTTAATTTTCTTTAAATTACTTCTAAGATATGTGTCTCATATTATTTAATATAATTATAGCTTAATATAATTTAGCGACGTGTTTTATTAATTATGAACCAATAATGTACAAAAATCCAATATTTCGTGACTGTCCCTATTAATTAGGCAACCTACTGTACCTATATACCTATCTAAAATTTGGATTTCACATAAAGTTGTGTATAAACTATGGTTTCAATTGTGGACAAACACTTGATTCGTAGCATTTATTCTATAAAAAAAATAGTTCATAAAACATATTAATTTGTAGTAGTAATTGAATTCCCAACAGTTCCCAACATTACACTTAGTGAAAAATTGTTTTCATACAGGTACCTTATCTGCAGATGATCGTATAATTATAGGAAATGCTTTGCAGATTTGAACATATAAGAGAAAGAAATGAGGTTGAGTATCAAGAAGAAAAGAAAGTTAACGAGGACATTAATGTCCTCATGTCATGTTAACATGACGGAATTAAAGTTTTGGATTCGGATCTATCTTTCAGTAATTAACAGAATAGTTATCAATTTTTAAGAAAAATGTACCTACTGGTAAAATAAGAATCATCGAAATCGATCTCGGAAATATGCGCGAACAACAATAAAACGATTTTTGACAAAAAAGTTTTTTTTAAGCCAAAAATCCAAAATAGCATCGACTAACTATGTATGGCATGCTAAGAGCAATTATTTTTCGCTGGAATACATTATCTGTTACATTTTTCCTTAAATAACGAAATGAATATCTATACCTAATTCAAGAGTTTCCTCATTTCGCCTCCCAAACTATTTATACTCAACAGATCTTCACCTAATTAATATGGGACCATCTCGCCAAAACACTGATTTAAACAAAAAACCTGGCCCAGCGCGAGTCTAGTATCGCTCTATTAGGTTTCCGTACAGTGAAATAATCCTGTTATTGAAGCAACCTCATATCACTCACTCACTCATGTTATGAAATAGTTCATTTCAGAGCTCTAGCGATATCTACATCGCAGTTCGCAATATACCGCGAAAGAAAATATCATTTATTTGTTTCCACAACTTTCAAACTACATTACGAATCCGCGTTTTCAGTATTTGTTGTTTTTAAATTTGAGTTTTGGTATGTAATGTGCATATGGCACAAACCAAACTTTCACATTCTTAACTAGTTTCGATATAAAGATAGACCACGTAGCAAATGGGTGAATCCTGGGACCAACGTTCTTCGCATCAGATCCGTGGCTTTTATTTTATTTCAGTAGAAAAAACTAAAATTATATGGCTAAAGAGGGCTGAAAAATAAGTCATTCTGTAGATGAGGCACACACGTAAACCTTATAGATTCTTGAAAAAAAAAGAAAATGTTTTGGCTCGCCACGGATCTGACCAAGGGCATCACGGGTCTGACGAAGTATATGAATTAAATAATGGCGTCGCGTTAGAATCGCCTGTTAGAATGCTGCAATAAAGAAAATTATAAATAAAACATCATTATAGCAAAAGTAATCAGAAGTTTTATTTTTTTGTATTTTTTACATCCATTGCATATAAAATATTAAAAAATCAATAAATAAACTACTTTGGTATTTGTTTAAATTCTTACGTTTAAATATCAGTCTTTACTGGGTAGGTATTCTCGGCAATTAAAACTGAAAGAAAATCTAAAGAAAATATAACTAGAAAAAATTCCACGCGGACCAGGCAGCAGACGGGACTCGAACCCGCACCCTTCAATGCACTGACCAATTATGCTACCGCGGCCCTCACGGACCGCGTCGAAATTCTTCTAGCCATTCTTAAGCTGCAAGGCAGCGCCATCTCTTGTCATTATAGGTAACCCACAATGCCAAATGAATACTTACAAGTATTAAACATTTGAAAGAAGAAATAGCAATTATAGTTACCTATAATTTTTATTATTTTAAAGCATGTAACTGCTTGATGTTTAAATGTAAAGAAAATATAACTAGAAAAAATTCCACGCGGACCAGGCAGCAGACGGGACTCGAACCCACACCCTTCGCAATCCGGGCGAATGCACTGACCAATTATGCTACCGCGGCTCTCACGGAGGGGATTTTTTTCTAGTTATATTTTCTTTAGATTTAAACATCAAGCATTTACATGCTTTAAAATAATAAAAATTATAACTGAAAGAAAATGATTGAAGCTGTAAAAATTAGGCCTCCTGGTCGATTTCTATCAG